TGCAATAGCAACAAGTGGGCTATGTGCAATAGCAACAAGTGGGCTATGTGCAATAGCAACAAGTGGGCTATGTGCAATAGCAACAAGTGGGCTATGTGCAACAGCAACAAGTGGGGCTATGTGCAATAGCAACAAGTGGCTGTACTTAACACAAAATCTTCTTATTAGATGAAACGTTCGCTCTCCTAACTTTTCATTCTTCATCTTTTGAAATAACAAAAATTTGAAAATCATCAAAGAAGAAATCTGAATAAAAAAATAATCATGACTATCTTCAACAAAGTCGTTGGTCTCGCTCTGTTCTTGGCGATCTGCCTCATTGCTTCATCTGACGCAAGACCTATGCCCGAGCCCATACTAAACAGCTATACTATTGGAAATGGTAATAGTTACTTGAGTGGTAACCAAGCGAATGGTAATGGTTACAGGAATGGTAACCAAGGGAATGGTAATGTTAGTGGTTACTGGAGTGGTAATGGTTACGGTAATGGTATCTGGAATGGTGGTTATGGTCGCTGGTGGTAAAATTAACCAGGATGCATCAAATGCGTATAATAAATACATAGGAGCTTTATAATGTGTATATTTGTATAATAAATTAATGCATGATTTGGATTTCCTACACGATTAGATTACCTTATATGCCAGCAATGCACACAAGCTAGTGTTGCAAGCCACTAAAAATTTTTCAGCTACAAAATTTTAAACTTGCACAATTGGCCTACAAAAATCGATAATTGACTCAAAATTACATGTGGTTCGTTTAACATACATTTTGTCGATTCTGATTATTAGATTGGCTTGGGCTTTAAGTTTAACCTTAATTTTCATGATTTATTTAGACTTGTTTGAAAAAATCTAGATTCTGAACAACGATTATTAGGGGAATATTTATCGTTATCGTTATTTATTAACTAGTCTGATGCTATATGAATATGTGGGGACTACGTATGGTTGAATCAGCTTCAGATAATTCTATTAGTGACTGCTTCTCCAACTTGTACATCATTAAAACCATCTATTGCATCGAAAAATATTTATCAGAATCAGTAGTTAAAGACTGACATTCATTGTCATTAAGTGTATAATTGTTGGTTGCTGTAGTGGTCTCAATAGTATTATTGACTGTGCGTATGGTATCCGGGTAATCATTTGGCGCTGGTTGGTGACTAACAGGATCAATAGAGCTTGAATTATCAAGGGTTTGATTAACTTTATTACTATTATTACGAGTATGCAAATTTGTAGAGAGTTTTTTTCACTTGTAGAGCTGATTATTGTTCTAATACATTCGAACACATTGTACATCCCAATCATTGCTATACACTTGTCGTTGTTGTAGAATTTCAATAACAATATCCTCAGGAAAGGTATCATATCTAAGTACAGTTTCAAAATATCTTCTTTTCACCATCAGTTGTAAGTCAACATTGACGTTTTACACGATGAATATCCTTAGCTTGTTCTTGTAATTGCTGATCATTTTGCTTTTTTCTTTTTCGCGTTCCTTTATTATTGCTTTGGCTTTCTAATGGTGGAATTGCCAATTTGTGCACTACTATATTACGTGCACAATGGTCTTTTGTGTTTCAAATTAGATCAGAGTACATCGTTAGATTCATCCTAGTTGAGTTTGCTAAGATTTGGATGTCTTCGATTAAATTCGTCGAGGGTTGAATATTCTCTTTTTCTGGTATGTTATTATTATTACTTTTATTATTTATTATTATTAATATATATAAAGAAATGTATATATATTTTATTTTATTTATTTATTTTTATTTGCGTGTTATTAAGTGATTCTATATATTTTAATATTATTGTCCTATTTGCGAGTGTGTTCATATTCTGGTTCATTTTTCTGGAGCAGTAGGTAATCAGAAAGATGTATTTCATCATCATCATAACTCATCGAGAAATACAAAGTTCAGAATTGGTTTGTTCGGTGAAAAGCCAGTGAAGGATATTGTGATCCATGATGATTTCGAAGAGTGTCCCAAGAAGGTAATGTCAGAACTGTCAAACAGCCCATACTATGATAAGAGCTTCCTTTTCAGTAATGCTATATCTCTTTTCAGCAGGCTTCAGGAAGACACTCACATAGACAACAACTCATTCTCGACTTTGTTTATCCTTTTGAGAGAGAACTGCTTCCAATCTGACATCAGAAGTGTTCATATACAGGTAAAATTTTCTCGTAAAGTTCAGGTAGATGAGGATCGGAACCGTAACTAATTTTTTCTTTAACAAGTTGAACATGTTTTCTTGATTTATGGTCCAGATATAATGGATATTATTCCTAAGAAGTTGGAAGAGTGAAATGGTGATTTGTGAGAATCTCTTAATGAACTTTCAGTAGTAATCAGCGAGATCAAGTAAGAAGCAGAGCATTTTAATAGTCATTGGCTGAGAGAAGCTTTTAATTTTTTCTATGGTAGTTAGATCTGGTGAGATTCCATTCCGACTGATGATGTGTTCAAGGAAAGATAAGCTATTTTGAGTAAATTTGCATTTTTCTAAGTTTAACTTTAATTTTGTGTCTCAAATTCACTGAAACATCAATTCCAGATGCTATAAGTATTTATTGAAGATCTGGAAATACACATTGATATTGTCAATATATATTATCACAAATTTCCAGTTGTAATTACCAAGCATAACATCCATTACTCTTTGAAACATGACAGGTGTATTACACAAGCCGAAGAGCAATATTTTGAATTCAAAGAGATCTTCTCTTGAGATAAATGTGATCTTTTCGACACTTTGTGATTCCATTTTAATTTGTCAGTATCTGAAAGTTAGATCCATAGACAAAAACCATTTTAATTCATCAAGACTATTCATCATCTCATCAATTCTTGACAACGGATAAGTATTCTTTTTGATTATCAAGTTAAATTATCGATAGTTTATATATAGTCATTTCTTTTCATTTTTCTTAGTGATTATTATGATCAGTGAAGACCAGGAGCTACTGGACTGTTGGATGATTCCTGCTTCGAACATGTACTGAATTTTGTCATGAATGAAATCTTGATCCATAAGAGTTACTTGATAAGCATGTTATCGAATAGATTTATTGATCTCAGTTTCTATTCGATATTGAATTATTTTTGCATGTTCTAGTATATTAATATTGTTTACAAAGATATCCTTATAGATTTCTAATAGTTTTTCTAATTATCTAGCCTAATTCAAAGTTAATTTTCATTATTTGATGAGATTTTTGTCTTTATTTTCATTTAGGAGATATATCTTCATTTCATCTTTTCTGGTCAAACCAAAGTCACAATCACCTTTGTAGATCTTTTCTAGTTCTTCACAGATATTCACTAACCAGATTCCAGTGATCTTAGCAAATTACAAGAAGATGATCTAAGTGATATGTTCATTCAGCTCAATCTAATAAGATTATTGTATATTAGTACTCCAACATTTTCTATATAACCAACATTAATTGTTTCTCCTTTGACTTTTATTCTCTTTTTAGTGAGGAAAAATCAGGACATTAATTGGCATATGATTCTCACAAAAATCTTGAAGATGATATGGAAGTCAATCAATACTATCTGTCATGACATAACTTAAATAAGTATTTCTCCAGGATATTAAATGTCAAAGCCAATATCTATTGGATAAGCTCGCTCAGATAATTTCTTTTTTTCTTTATCATTGTACACTTTAATTATTAAATTCATATTATTCATTTCTTTAATTAGTCCAGTTTCAGTTTTGGTTAGTTGGTCAGACTATACACAGTCTATATATTTATCCAGGCCACGAAGTATTAGACACTTCTTGCAAAGTCAAATATTAATATACTTTAAGTAAGCTAGTTATATTCATTGATCAGAGAAAATCTGCTAGTAGATTTTCATAAATATTTTCTGTGCGGAAGCATCTTTGGGACCAGAATAGTCAATCTATATCATCTCTTCTTCCATATTGTATTTAATAATATACCTAACAAAGATGACTTTTCCTATCTCATTATATTCGTAATATACATGCAATAGGTTATCAATATTATGAAACTTTTTAATTGTTCTCTTATTCCTCTGCCAATCACTGTGATTAAATACATAGACATATTATTCCAAATAAGAGCAAAAATATTTCATCAAGCCACTTGTTCTGATGATATACATTTCTCATGCTAGGACATATTGTTCACACTGAATACAGATTGGTAGATTAAGTTATTCTCTTATAATGCATTCTTTACAATATAATTTTTAAAATATTTTATCCTGTTCACAGATCATATAGGACTTTGCCTGATCTACCAATTGCTCACACTCTTTACAGAACATCACACAATCTTTGAGCTAGAAGTAAACAAGTATGCTTTCTTTTATTTTAAACTTTTCTTTTGTGAGTTCGATCTTGTCAGGGATTTTTTATTGTTCAACTATGATCCTTTCATCATTCCTTAAAAATTCAATAGGCAGAATATAGAAAAGATTATTCAGCAGATTGAGTTGGTATTTATTCAGAGAGTGAGCTTCTTATAGCAGTGACAGTATTTGTCATTGAAGTTTTTCAGTTATCATCAGCATTAACATTCAGTGACAAATCTCTTTTAATCAAAATTTCAATGCAAGTGAGATCGAGCTTAATTAAACTTATCCTGCATTTAGATATATTCTCTCCAAATAACTAGTTTGTTTTGTATTTCAATTCCTTGCTTACTGATCTTTACATTTTCAATTTTATAGATTTCATTAATTATATGGTGGGAGATTTCTTCGAATTTGATTTTCATTTTTTCCTCGATTTTTGATCTATCAAAGTTTCAATATAGAAAGTTTCAACTTTCTAGTTGTTGTTCCTTAACTTCATAATCACTATCAGAGAATTCATTGGTGAAGAAGCTGGATGTTTCAGTTTCAGGTGCATTCGAATTCCTTTGTTCATGAATGAATTTGATATTGATGCTTCCTTTTTGATTTTCTCATTTAAAAATCATTGTTCTCTTTCTCATATTAATATTAGCATTTACTTTGTTTAACCAGTTCATCCCAACTATCACACTATAGGTTCTTGCCTCGGTGACATTCATCTCAGCCAGAATTATGATTTCATCAACCATAATCAGGAAGTCATCAATAGCTCCTAAAGATTGTTTGACCTAATTATTGATGTTAGACATGATGATATTTGATTTTTGCTAGATTTTTATATTATTTTTTTGTATGAAATCGTGGCTGATGACGCATCCAGAGGCATCCATATCTATGATAAGATCTATAAATATTGTTCTGACTTTTGTTTTGCACCAAGCTGATGTCATTCTGATCTTGATCCAGATTATCATTTTCACTGGTCGTTGAGTTTCTTTGTATTTTAATAGTTGACGCATTCCCTTAAATATTTTCATTCTTTGTACTGATGAGATTTTAATCAGTTGAACGATTATAATATTTGCTTTAGTATTCATTAAGTCGTCAAGAATATTATATGGAATGGTCTGAGAAGCCAATACTAGTAGCTCAGCTTTTCCTTTTCTTTTTTTCTTTTTGTCTATCAGTGTGATTTCTTCAATTTTCTTGAATGGTTTAGATTTGACAGGTCAGGAAATATCATCTATAGTATTTTCTGACTGATCTTTTGAGTCTGTTTGTGTCCTTCAAGATATTTGTGCATTGCAAGAAGAGTCAAATTGAATTGGTCAGTTAATAATATAGTTGTCATGGTTGATATTGCTTATAGAGCAGTAATAATCAATTGCATTTATATCAGGAGAGCAGTATTACTATTCGTAATTATAACATTGTTGCTTGTGATTCGGGTAGGGGTGGAATTTGCAGTCACATTGGGATTGTTATTTTGAATTATATTCCAATTTGTCCGCGAAGACTGGCTCTATCAAAAGTTTGATTCTTGATTGTTCATATCAAATGGGTTTGAGTAATATTGTTGAATGTGTCCAGTTTGTCTGCAGCAGTAGCATTTTAAGAGTTCCTGAAGTCTTGGTTGACTCTGAGCTAGATCATTGCTTCTTGATGGATAATATCCCTTCCTATCATTTTTCATGCAGTTGAGTTAGCCACTAAGATCCTGAAATATTTGGGTAATAGTGATTAGATCTATGTTTGTGATTACTTGTATCTGATGGTAGAGCTATTTTGGTGATTCTGAGTCTGCTTCTTTCACTGTCCTGATTATTTTAATTATGTTATTCAATGTTTCATTGGAGTTTATAGTAACACACTTCTTAATTTCTGGCTTAAGTTCTCTTTTGTAGATTCTTATCTTGTAATCGACCAGATAATCATCATCAGGATTAACTTTTTTTAATAATTGGACAAATTAATTGGTATATTCTTCAATGGTTCCTTCTTGCTTCAGAGTTTTGAGTTCATCTTGTCACTGTTTTACCTTCCAGTATATCCAAAATTTTAATGTGAATTGGTATTTGAAATCATATTTATCCTGCTGTTAATTTGTCCAGTCATTTAATTGGGAATTATCATTAATATGTTTTTGATTGAACCAAGTGGCTGCAGTTCCTTTGAGGTAGTTCTGTACAATTTGAATTTTTCATTCGTTGGTGATTCCATTGTTTCAAGTAGTGATTTTGAAACCTTGAAGTCATTCAACTGGATCTTGATTTTTATCTCAGAATTTTTGTATTGATATAAGAATTTTTTCAGATCTTGGATGAAATCAGCATTCATGGCATCACTAAGATGAGTTAAAACTTCTATTAAATTATTTATTTCAGCTATTTTATTAATCTTTCTATATAATAGAGTTTTCCTATAGTCTTTGTTGATTCCTTCGTTTGATGTTTCGGAGTCTGTGGTGTTTTTGTCAAGATATTCTTATAGGATGATTTGTTCTTCATTAGCTTGTTCTGTTGTTGATCTCCGAGTTCTTATAATTTATGATTATTGAGTTGATATCCACAGAGGGGTGGCATCAAAATATTATAAATTAGTAACTAATTATAGGAGTTAGTTGCTAATCTGTAACTTGGGTGAGAGAAACAGATAAAGTTATTTTATTTATTAGTTTTTCAAGGTTCTGTGCCAATATCTTCAGATATTGTTGTATTCAATTATCAGTTTGGTTTCGTTTACATGTTTCACAAATATTAACAATGCTTTCATTTTTTTTGGACCAAAAGCGTAAACTCTTAAATTGTAGTCGTTAAAACAATTATCTCACTTTTCTGGATCAAAGTGACAAACCCTTCACCTCACTTTTTCTGGATCAAAGTGGCAAATCTCTCTTTGTAACAATAAATTTAATTATTGAGATGGAGAACGAAAGAGCACCATATAAAACTAATTGTATGCAAGCAAGTAATTATATTTAAAGTTTTTTATTGCTTTATTATCAATCCTTCTACCTCTTTCTAATTACTCTCGTTATATACATTTTTGACTTCCTATTTACAATGTAATTTAAGATGTAATTTATAATGTAAATTATAGTGAAATTTATAGTAGAATTTACAGTGGAATTTACGGTAGAATTTACAATGAAATTTATAGTATAATATTATAGGTTAATGACTGATTATAGGAATTAGCTGCTAATCTGTAACTTGGGTGGAGAAATAAATTAAACTAAAGTTATTTTATTTATTAGTTTTCCAAGATTCTGTGCCAATATCTTCAGATATTGTTATGTTCAACTGTCAGTTTGATTTTGTTTACATGTTTTACAAATGTTAACAATGCATTCACTTTTTCTGGACCAAAAGCGTAAATCCTTAAATTGTAGTTATCAAAACAATTATCTCACTTTTATGGATCAAAGCGACAAACCCTTCAAATGGTATTCACCTCACTTTTTCTGGATTAAAGTGGCAAACCTCTCTTTGTAACAATGAATTTAATTATTGAGATAGAGGATGAAAGAGCACCATATAAAACTAATTGTATACAAGTAAGTAATTATATTTTAAAGTTTTTTTATTGCTTTATTGCCAATTCTTCTGTCTCTCTAATTACTCTCATTATATACATTTTTGGCTTCCTATTTATAATATAATTTTAGATGTAATTTATAGTGTAAATTATAGTGGAATTTATAATAGAATTTACAGTGGAATTTACAGTGTAATTGACAGTGTAATTTACAGTGTAATTTGTAATGTAATTTACGATGTAATTTGCGGTGTAATTTACGGTGTAATTTGTGATGTAATTTACAGTGTAATTTGTAATGTAATTTATAGTGTAATTTGCAGTGCAAATTGTAGTGTAATTTGCGATGTAATTTGCAGTGTAATTTGTGGTGTAATTTGTGATATAATTTACGGTGTAATTTGCGGTGTAATTTAAATTGATTGACATAAATAATACAAATAAAGAAATGTACACAAAAAAACAATGCATTTCTAAAAGAAGACTGTATTACCAGTGTAACACTCGCTCTTGGTTGGGAAGTTCTTTTTACTCCGTAAAAATATGTGAATTTAGATGTCGTTGAAAATCGCAGAGATGTCGTCTTTGCTGAGTGTACTGATTTGGGTTGGGGTTAGTTTCAAGTGCCAGCCTAACCGTCGCAAACCTTTTCAGTGAAAGATCTGGTAAACGCAGTTAGAAGTGAACCAATGGTGATTGATGGATGAGGTTTTACAGGTTTGATCCAACTCTTTCTTTAAAGATGTCATCCGGTATTTAAACATCGGCAGCATTACTGATATCAGAGAACCAAGGTGATAGTAGTGCATCAATTTTATATGATTTTCTTCTTCTTGCTGCATGATGTCAGTGAGGATCTGTTGGATTCTTGACTTTCAACCTTGGTCATCAGCAAATTGGTAGCAGGCGTGATTTCGACAAAGTCTTTCAGTTGGGGTTAATTAAGATTAGTTATAATATCACGGAGTTTGTCAGGAATGCTCGATGTGATAGAAAGAATGACAAAATCGTTCAGTAGAAACGTTGTTTCAATTAATCTTTCTGGATTGTTGCCATTATCGTTTGGTGGGAGCATTGTGATTAATAATCTTTTGAAATTGTTATTGTCTATTCTGGATAACTCCAGAAGATTATATTGGTCACCTTCACTGCCAGTGACCATTATTTGCGTTCGACTAATGGAAATAGTTCCTCTGAAGTGACAGTAACT